GACCAGTCGACATGACCTCGTGAGAAAATTTCACATTTGAGATGCCCTCACGCATCTCGGCTTGGGGCCTTGGCCAGCTGCTTCAGCAAGTAGCTGCGCTTGAAATAAGTGTTGGGGTGAACAATGGTATCCAGATCTGCCTGGGTCCAGGTTCCATCCTCCTTGACCTTCTTGATCTCGCCTTTGTGAGACCACTCGAACACTCGGTTGCAAGCAATGTGAAAGCGCTGTTTGCCCACGTCCTCGCGGACTCCACGCAAAACCTCCTTGTCATGAACCCCAGTGGATTGGAGCAGTCCAACAAGGTTATCGACTGAATGATGACGGTAAGGGCAGCCGTGTGTTTGGCCGATACCGACGTTATTATCCTGCAGAATTTTCTGGCACGAGTAGGGAGGATATCCTCGTCCCCGGCGATTCACATCACCGCCAACATCACCATATGCGTGACGAATATTGTACTTGTATTGTGAATTGAATTCGTCGTCTGTCTTGCCTTTAAAAGATTGGCGCCAGAAGAGAATACATTCCTCTAGTGAGAGACCAATGCCTTTCAAGAAAAGGGTATATTGGAGTCGACCAAAGTGTTTCAGATGGTTATCCTTGCGGAGATTCGTGTGTAGGTTGCGCATGCACAGTGGGAAGTGCTGGGATAGAGAGTCAATGGAGCTTGCTGTGATTGCTGTGCCATCGACATGCCCTTCGCCTTCAGTGTATACCGAGTCGGCACTGCCGAAGTTCTTCGAAAGGTGATTCAAAATGGGAGTTAAACGATCGTCCTCGTCTAACCGCGGAAGAGCACGGCTCGTTAACTTCGTTATGTTAGCTGGTTCCTTCCGAAGCATTTGGGCAAGGATATGTGATGCGAATGGAGACCTACTTCGAGTGAACGTTCAAGGCGAGCAGTAAATTCAGCCATAATCATGCTTAGCTGCTCCCTTCCAGGAACATAAGCTTTCCCCTTCTTCAGGAACACATTTCGGCGCTCGATAAGCTCGGGGACCTTCTCCCAATCGACCTTGTACCAAGTCTCTTCGTCGACACGACGCAGCCCAGGTGTGGAGCTGGCCAGGCTCTCGGTGACTTCGTGACGTTCCTCGTCGCTGACTGGTTCCCAATCAAGACTCAAGCTTTCCACAAAGGCACGTCGCTCTCTTGAGTCATCATTCTGGAAGCGGAACCGGAAGAGCATGGTTTCAGCGCGTGCGAATCGCCGTCGCAGATCCTCCGTGGCGGAGAAGGCCAGGCGGAGGATGAAGTGGGAATAATGATCTTTTTGGCGTTCATTTTTCAACCGTTGGTCGGCGGCACCAGTCGCAGATGAGGTATTTGAGGAAAGAGGGAGGAATTTCTGGAGAAGAGGGGTGATATGCGACGCGGTTTCGGCGGGGGACTTGTTGCGATAGGAGCATGCTTCGATCTCGGCGAGAACTATACCAATATTAGTGAGCGACTCGTACATATACAATAGGCTAGGATCGTCATACTCTTCAGCCTATCAATTGCCCATTGTTCAAACTGCTCAAGGGTGATCTCTGCTGTTGGCGGCGTGTCGTACAGATTTAGACGAAACGGGTAATCCTGCTGCTTGTAGATGGGCGCGGCGAACTGCCTTTTCTTGGGATCGATGATTGCCCTGCGTTTAGGATCGATTCGGTGGGCGTCTTGTCGGATCATGGTGCTGGCCCAAGTCGTGGTCGAGAGGAGACAAGACAAGACGAGACAATTAGACTTGGTATGGTTGGATGACCACCCCCGTTATCGACTAAACTGGCAGACGCGACCTTCACGCGCCGCCTGACTACGAACGCGACTCGGGCACGTGACACTAATTACCTTGAGAACGGGGTATCAAGGCACCAAGGCATCAAGGCAGAAGCAGCAAGGTAAGGCAAGGTAAGAGCATGTGAAGAGCGTCCGTGCCGAATCAGTACTTCTATAATCCTGATCAATTACTCTCTTCTGAATCCAAGAGTCAATACGCCTTATCGTGCGGACGCATTACATTCTCATCAAGGAGCTTTGGTATCGTTTTCCTCGGAGCTCTCTCCTCACCGGTTGCCGAAGACAGCGAACCCGCAAAAGCAAGCCAACCCCACAGAGTCGCGAAATTGGTCATATGCGCTAGAGCCTCGAGATCGTGCTACTAGCACCTGTATACTGCTCCGGTTTCTTCCTTTCTCTCGCGCGCGGGATGTATCAGCAATAGCCCATCGCTCAGATTTCTTGTCCTCTGAGTCCTGGTCGTTTGCTTACCCCTGTCACCCGCGCCGTTTTTCAGGAACCGTTCCACTCTCCGGGAAATTGACGTTTGATATCGGACCAACCCCGGACACCTTTTAAGGCAGCCTTCCATTCCCCAGACATTGCTCCAGCATGTCTCACACATCAAAGAACCTGAAGAAGGCCGCGCGCATCATTCTTGTCGGCGCTCCAGGAGTTGGTAAAGGCACACAGTCCGAGCGTTTGCTGTCTCGGTTCCCTGGGTTGGCCTCCATCAGCTCCGGCGACTTATTGCGCGAGAATGTGCGTCGCAGGACACCACTGGGTAAGTTCTGTCCTGATTAATAACACCCAATGTTGGACCACCGCGCATACAATAGGTCCCATATCTAACCATTTGTATAGGTGTTCAAGCCGAGGCCGCTATGCAGTCCGGTAACCTCGTCCCGGACTCGATGATTCTGAACCTGATTTCCTCCGAATTAATGTCCAAGGGCTGGCTCCCTCCATCTGATAAACCGTCTCAATCTACCTCATCACCATCCTCCTCGTCTACCACCACCCCGGCCCCCTCAATCTCTACCGCCGCATCCTTCATTCTCGACGGGTTTCCTCGTACCGCTTCTCAGGCCACAGCCCTCGACACCCTTGTCCCTGTGAACTTTGTCGTGGAGCTCATTACCCCGGCCTCGGTCATCCTCAATCGAATCGCATCACGCTGGGTACACGAACCATCCGGTCGAGTCTACAACACGGATTTCCATGCACCGAAAATCCCCGGCAAGGACGACGTTACAGGTGAACCGCTGACCCAGCGAGAGGACGACTCTATCGATACGTGGAAACAACGCTTGCAGAAGTTTGAGGAAACTAGCCGAGCTCTACTCGATCACTACGACGGCCGCGGCTGCCTCTGGCGGGTAGAGGGCAACTCGAGTGACGAGATCTCTCCAAAGCTGTTCGCAGAAGTCGAAAGGCGATTCTGCTGATCAGCCATATTGGCCGTGTATAAATATTTATTAATCAAAGTCGCTTTGACCCCAACGGGCCGCGCTTTTAGGTGGATACTGAATTCCGGGCTTCAAAATACCCTCTTCAGGATTCGGGACTTGAGGAATATGTCTTGTGTTTGTATAGATATTCTCGAATTGCATAATATCCATAGCCAGGTCTCGATTGACACTGTGAACAAATGTCATTGTAATCCATATGTAGTTGTAGTTGTACAATCGCAACATGCAGATACTTAGGTAGGCAAAAGAAATTCGTAACATATAAGCTCAAGATTACAAACCGGAGGATATTCACAACTCTCAAGTTGATTACTTGATTTTGGACTTCCCACCATTCTCCACCGGGTCACTTTTGCCCATACGAGTTTTGTACTCCCGTGGACTCTCCCAGTCAGGCCCAATATCCTTCCACAGCCCCTTGGAACGGCGTTTGGCCCACCATTCCGCACGGCGATATTTCTTTTCCATAGCATCACCTCCGTACTCCGCACCGACTTTGGCCTCGTAAACGGTCGCCAGACCACGTCTCAACATTTCGTATGAGACATCTCTCCGACGGAAGGGCGGGAAGTCAAACGCCCTCCTGACAAACACACTTGCCACGACACGATTATATTGGTCTTGCTTGTAAACAGAGGCACGTACGCGACGGTTGGAAAGATACTCCGTGAGCCAGGCATGGGTTTCACGCGCAAAGGGTTGTTCCGGACGACCGAAATGAGCGAGTTCGGGTGCATCGACGCCAGCGAGACGAATATGGATCTGTATGCGAAGGGGAAATATATTAGCTGGAACGGGCGCCAGAGATAATATAATCTCAAAGAGAGACGAACAGTATTATCTTTCAACTCCTTCTTGTTCGTCGGGACTTTCTTCCACGGTAGCCACCCCCATCCAGCAATCCTTCCGCCAGGCGTGTGGAATATCCTGAAGTTGTCGCCATCCCCAACGCTGGTCACTTTCCCGAAGACGGAGCGGCGACGCAGAAAGGAAGGCGAAATGCTGGGCGCATCAGGGATGCGGCGTAGATACCGACGGTGAAATCGTAGGCCGAAGAGGATACCGCTTGTCAAAAGGACTGTCGGGATAAGAGTTCTGGGTTCGGCAAAGGCAGCCCAGTCGAGGTACGAGCTGGGGTTGTTTGTTGTGGTTGTGGTTGCGGAGCGCGAGAATATGGAGTTAGACTCCTTGTTTTGGTCGTCATTGTTTGACTCGGAGCTCCATGGTGGCCATCGCATGTCGGCCCATACCCTCGCAGTGGCAGGACTTGAGAGGGGTGAGCTGGAGAGCCGAGGGTTGTTGGGGAAGGTCGGTGATCGCCGTGGCGGGAGCGCTTCAACTCCCGCGGGACAACCATTCCCGAGAAACGTAATGTCCCGCTCGGTCTACAGCAAGGGCGCAGACTACGAAGTGCAATTGCACATCCAAGTAACAGAGTAACAGAACTTTTGATGTTATCTTGAAAAGGGAAAAAATTTTAGAATCCTTTTTTTTCAAGGAGGTATTGATCATGATAGACTTGAAAATGACTGCAAAATCGACTGTGTATGTACAAATCTATCGACGCTAATCTGGCCAGAAACGAAATGTTTCTACAATACCAGGCATCTATTCGAAAGCCGAAAGGAATCTAGAAAGGCGCAAGGAGAATCGCATGAGAAAGGAGAAGCCGACACGCCGTATAGACACAAAAAAGAAGAAGGGTTCCTGAAGCCGTAGAACTTGAAGATTAGAAAGGCATCGGGTGAATTGAGACTGGACAGCCTATTTCAAAGTAGCAGGCAAGCTAGTCTTAGCCTGCTCAGCAACTGTACCGGCAGCCTTCTGCAGCTTCGACTTCCGAAGCTTGGTGAGATAAGCAAACAGGACAATGAAGAGAATTTCCATTCTGGGAAGAAAGTTAGCGACTGCAACCGAAGATAGATAGGGTGATTTGACATACCTTTCCTTGGTCATCATTAGCAGACCTTGAACCAACAGACCCTTTGTGATCTGTGGCCCAATGCCCTTGAAGAGAGCCAAGGGGCCCTCGTTATCAATAATAAACTTCATAACTTCGCCGAATGTCTTGAAGGGCTTGCCCTTCCGAGCTGGGGGTGGGCGAGATTGCAGGCCAACCTTAGCAACAATCAAAGGCTGAGTGGCAATAGTAGCCAGGGCCTTAGACATAGCGCCAAGGACTATGATTGGTATTAGTATGGTGTGCTAGCAGGTCAAAGAAGCAAAAGAAAAGGACCGAATCACTTACAGAACGCCTCCCAGGGCTTCAGGTTATTCTTTCCTGGGAAGAAGACATCCTTGAGACGCTGATAGGCACCGTAGGTAATGGCTGGGTTGACAACCAGAATCAAACTGGCCTTCAGGCCGCGCCACAGGCCGGACCAGCCGTCCTCGCTATCCACCACCTCTCGGGCTGTCTCGACAAGACCCTTCTTCTCTCCCTTGGGCTGGGTCTGCTGACGCGTAGTAACGACCGAGACGGGAATGGTGAAGATCTGGGCTACGGCACCAGCAACAGCACCGAGTGACAATTCGATCGCAGTTCCGGGAGGCTTGGGGGTTTTGTTGTTGGACATGTAGAGAGTTCGAACAATGCTGTACCAATAAAAGTACGCAAAGTTGGTCGAGGCGACTCCTAGCAAAGAGCCGGCAATTCCAGAGTATAGCCCGCTAATGCCCTCTTTCTCGGTGATTTTGGTGATCGCATCGATGGTAGATTCGTAGACCTCAACTCCCTCATGCTTCTCTGATCCGTCGGACTTGACTTGAACCTGCAATTTCGTCTTGACCCTATTTGAAGGATTGTACAATTAGAGGGGGGGTTTTCTTCGAGGGGCATGGGAATTTGCGTTTGTGGTGGGATCTCTCACAGATCAAGTGGGTATACCATAGCATTGGCTAAGACTGCGCCTGTTGCGCCTGCAACTGCGCTGCCCCATGGGAGAGAACAGGCTTTGATTGACCAGCCATGATCTGTATTGGAAGAATGAAAGCTCGATCACTCTGCGACGAACAGAGGAAAGAAAAGGAAAGGGAAAAAAAGACGGCGAAAGTGTATGAAAGGGGAAATCGGAGCGGGGCCCTCTAGATGACAGTTACTCCGAAGACGGAGATGACAGAGCTGACTGGGGAGAGAGAACAGAGAAACGAAGCAAGCCGATCAGGAAGTTACAGATGATAGCAGTGGACGAATCGACAGCGAGGTCATAGTAACCGATGTCACCCGACAAGAGCACGACCGAGCTGGATAACCGGAAAGACCACAGGCAAAAAGCACCTCGGCGCGGCGGTGACGAAACGAACCGAGGTCCACTCGGCCGCCCGCTGAACGTTGAACCTCCAATGGGAATTCACACCAGCCGCCAACAACACCCACGAGCTCGGACGACACAAGATTCGTTCGGAACCAGACAAGCACGCTGGTCACTTGTTATTCCGAGAAGCTGAAGCCCACTAAATCCCGATTCGGAGGTCTACTGTTGGCGTGGAGGTCGATGCCTGTTAGGTCAGGCCATCTCCCGAAGTCTATTGCGGGGCGCATCGTCGAGCTGTTTGGGCGTACGACGATCAGATTACCCTGACGAAGATTGAAAGAGCCTCTAGAAGCTATGGCTAGACCCGATGGGTCCATCCCGACATCATCTTCGTCATCATCACTTCGATCTCAGGCGCAGGTAGGTCCCATTGTCCTCTCCTCTGTCTCGCCTCTCTCTCCTCCCCCCCCAGGATCTGATAACCCCCGGAGAGGCTAATCGGCAGTTAGCGAGCCGAAGAAGCCATCACCGCCGCGACCTCACAAAAGGCGGCACTCGCTGCCGCTATCGATGCCGCTGAGCAGTACATGAGGGCCTTGCGCCTTGCATCCCCCGATGACAAAAAGAACTTAGATTCCAAATGCAAGGAACTCATAACTCGAGCCGAAGCGATCAAATCCGCTACCGACTGGCGATCAGCCGCCCAACCAAAAGCTGCTACACCTAACTTGCGGCCCCCCACATCCACGCGAAAGCTCACTACCCGTGAAGAAATTATCATACTTGAGGGTGCAAAGCTCAATGGCTTTATCTTCCCACCATGGAGTCGCCCACCGGCTCCGACGGAATTCGTAACATATGACGAAGATGCCCACTTTACGTATGTGTTAAATGTCTTAACAAAAGGGTGACGATTTTGCCAGCTGACCGGATCTAGGGACACACCAGACTTGCACCTCTCACAATGTCAACGCGATATATTTGCCGGTTGGAAAAGACCTGCAGATATCCTGCTTGCCAGCCAGCAACCCAATGGTACCGAGCCGGTCATGTCGGTGACAGGAATGACCGATCTAGTACAAGATGTACTCACAGACTGTTCTGTGGTTGCTAGCCTATGCGCTACCACCTCCCGATCAGAACGGGGTCTAGGAAAGGTAAGAATCATATTCCCTCCTTACTGGTCCTGGCCTGATCTAACTAAATTAGCATGCATCCCCCGCCATGTACCCCTGTGAAGGAGATCCTACCAACCCGACTCTTTCACCCACTGGGAAATACATCTTCTCATTCTATTTTAATGGCTCGTTTAGAAAGGTAGTCATAGATGACCGCTTGCCATCCTCCAAAACATCCCGGTCGCTCCATGTGATCGACCGGAAGAACCCCAATTTCCTCTGGCCTGCACTTGTTGAAAAGGCTTACCTGAAAGTGCACGGTGGTTATGATTTCCCCGGAAGCAATTCAGGGACCGACTTGTGGGTGCTGACCGGTTGGATTCCCGAACAAGTCTTTTTGCATAATGAAGATGCTACGTCAGACGAGATCTGGGGCCGCTTGTTCAAGGCATTTTCATATGGCGATGTGGTGCTAACTATTGGCACTGGAAGATTAACCGAGCTGGAACAGCAAGGCCTGGGGTTGGTGAGCGAGCATGACTATGCGATTCTGGACATGAAGGAAGCCCAAGGGCGTCGCCAGTTCCTCTTGAAGAATCCATGGGCTGGCGCGGAGCCTGCAAGCATGCGGGCCAGTCTAGATCACCTACCGTCTCCTCTATCGCCAGGGACCTTTTGGATGGATTGTGAAGAAGTCCTACAGAACTTCGAAAATCTCTATCTGAACTGGAACCCTGGGTTGTTCAAATATCGACAGGATATTCACTTTACCTGGGATCTTTCCCACGGGCGTGTCATTTCAGGATGTTTCGTCAAAAACCCCCAATTCTCCGTCTACAGCGAGTCTGGGGGCACCGTGTGGCTACTCCTTGGCAAACATTTCAAAGCCGACCACCATCACTTCATGAAAGACGCCGACCCTAAAGACAGGGAATTGGGCTTCATTAGTATTTACATCTTCAAGGCTGATGGCAAACGTGTATCTCTCACCGACGGGGCACTTCATCGGGGACCGTATGTCGACTCTCCAAACACACTGATGAGACTCGAGATGCCGCCAAAGACAACATATACTGCCGTGATCTCGGAGCAATCGCTACCTTCCTCGACTCAAAACTTCACTCTGTCCGCTTTTTCAACTCATCCCGTATCTCTAGCGCCGTCCCGAGACAAGTACATGTGCCTCAGCAAGGCAGTGGGTTCCTGGACTTCCTTGACAGCCGGCGGAAACGCAGAGTCAGCTCGGTACTCATTCAACCCTCAATTCAGCCTGCAGGTATCCGAGAAGACGGACGTATCTATCCTTCTGGAATCAGACGAAGCTGAACTCGCCATCCACGTGAAGATTTTCTGGTCAAATGGTCAGCGCGTGTCGAGAGTACGCAATCGAGATATTATAGCCGACAGTGGTGACTACCGTCGCGGGTGTGCTCTGGCCGAGACCAAGTCCCTTGGGAAGGGGGTATACACCCTCGTGTGCTCGACCTTCGCGCCAGACCAGATTGGTCGTTTCACTCTATGGATCTCATCTGACATACCCTGCACCGTGCAATCCTTAGCCTCCGAATCTGCCGGTCGTCGAGTGGCTTTATCTGACGTCGGCGTTCTCCATCCCGGGAAAGATAGGATGATGGCTTCTCTGCAGACGTCTCGTTTAACCCGACTCAAGCTCGTTGCGAGGAATAAACTATCGAAGATTGGATCTCGTTCCGTTGCGCCGTCGCCAGTATTGATGACTGTGGAACTCGGTCAGGGCCCATATAAAGAAATCCTGGCTGCATCAGAAGATGGAACTTATTGCGACGCTGCATCGGGAGTGCGGGTGGAAGACTTTGATTTATCCCCGAGTCTAGAGCTTCAAAACCAGGTGTGGATTGTGATTGAGCGAGTTGGAGGCCCGGGAGGACAAGTTGAGGATCATTTTGAGGTGGAGGTGTTGTCGGAGGAGCGGGTTGAGGTCGGGGGATGGATTGTAGAGGATCCATGAGCACAGTGCAGCTACAATATGGCATCTGCATGCCTCACCTGGGCATGGTGGCATACTGACTAACCATAGTACTAGCATTCAAGGTTTTACAAAACGAGTTTGTGTAGAATCTTCTGAAGATTAAACAAGCGACGGTTTAGCCAATAGTACCAATGGGATTCTTTTTTTCTTAATTTGAGGTCTTTTAAAAGCAAAGGAGGACAAATATTTGAATATTTATTTCGCCTCAATATAGGCTTTAGGTGGTTACCTATTCTGTCCTAGTGTCATCGCCGATCTGGTGGCCTTGAGGGATCACCACAGCCACTTTTCAACCAACATGAACATCTTCAGACCTTCGAATCTACGATTAATTTACTCGTCCAGGACATCTGGTCTATTTCATTTCATATCTAGACACTCGCTTTTCTCCACTTTAACCCCATCCATGTCATCAAAACCACCCCCTACCGATTTTCCAACATACGCATTCCCCACAGCCCAAGCGCTGGAAGAATTTCTCGAGCGAGAACATTTAACAGCCCCAGGCTTCCATCTCAAACTTGCCAAAAAGGCATCCGGGATCCAGTCAGTAACCGCCGCAGAAGCAGTAGAGACAGCACTATGCTTCGGCTGGATAGACGGACGCGCCAACGGATTTGATAAGGACTGGTGGCTTGTACGATACACGCCGCGTCGGGCGAAGAGTATCTGGTCCCAGAAGAATGTGAATACGATCAGTCGACTGGTCGAAATGGGTCGAATGCGCCCTGCCGGTGTGACTGCTGTGGAGGCTGCGAAGGCTGATGGGCGCTGGGAGCGTGCTTATGCTGGGCCTGCGACTATGACTGTCCCTGATGATTTTGCTACGATTCTGAAGGAGAATTCGGCTGCGGAGGCTTTCTTTGAATCGTTGAATAAGAGTGATCGGTATTCGGTGCTGTGGCGCGTTCAAATATCGTCCCCAAAGGCGCGAAGTAAGAAGATTGCGACGTTGGTGGCGATTCTTGCAAAGGGGGAGGGACTCACGGCAACGAAGTCATCTTCAACAAAGTCCGAGAAGGCGAAGGTACTATCTGGTGGGGATACTGTTAAAAAGAAGTTAAAGAAGGTTGAGAAACCCGTAGTGACGAAGCCGAGGCGTGCTGGTCTTCGGAGTAGTTCAACTTTGACTGAGTGATGCGAAATGGCATAACTACGGCAGAGATATATCATGAGTAATGGGCTGTATTTAATAAAAGAAAAGGTGCATACGTCAAATATCAATAATTGCATCTGCTAGACACTACTACCATGTACTAGTAAACCTGGAAAAATCATATCAATCATACTACTACTACACACCTTTACTGCGCTTGTTTGTATGGCCGCCTGGCGCGGGTCTCCGTCTCCGCACGGGCGGTGGGTTCTCCGAGCTCCAAACGTCATCTGCCCAGAGCTTCTCCTCTTCCTTTTGGCTTCAACCCCTCCACCATGGCGAGTAATATTCCTGCTTCACTGAGAACCACTGATATCGGGCGGTTTGCCCTGAGGGCATCGCAGATTGAGAAGGCCAAGCCAGTCGTGGCCTACTGGTGTGAGTCAAGTGTTTATGCCCCCCCCGCCATGGGACATCTGAGCTGACCGCATCCCCAATGGAATAGGCAACTTTCATATTGTGAACCAAATAATCGAGAGAGGCCTTCATAATTCAGATGATGAGGTCAAGCTTTATACAACCGACCTGGTGGAAAAGTTGGAACAGGTTCGTTCTCCTGCCTACCCCACCTAAGCTGGTGATGTAGTTGTGGAAAGCCGGTTACTGACTCTAGAAATGGCAACAGTTCAAAAGCGATAATCAAGAGAATGAAACCGTCACAGATGAGGTTGCTGCCAGTGCATATGTCGAACAATTCGGTCTCGAGGTGTTCAACCGTGCAGAGGCGGCCATGACCGCCAACAAAGTTACAAAGTGAGTTCTACCTTGGTGGCCATTCATCGACAAAACCAGACATTGACATGACTCTTCCAGACAAACAGCGGATACATTCCAGGCGGCTGCAATATTCCTCGAGCTCTGCCAGGTATGGGGAGAACTGGACTCGGAGATTGCGGGGAGAATCAAGTTCGCCAAGTACCACGCGATTCGAATCGTGAAAGCGATCAAAGCCGGCGAGGACCCCAATGCCTCGAACCCCGCCCCACAAGTGGAAGAAGAAAACGAAGCCACCGTCGCCGATCCCGATGTCCAAGCATTCGACGAAGGTGTGGCGGAGCAGGCCTCCAAGCCAAGACAGGCCTCCGTCGAGGAAGTTCCCGATGAAGCAGATCGTCTCGGGCGCCAGATGGCCCTTCAATCATCTCTGGACGAGTCACTACACCCGTCCCGAACTTCATCGATGCCACGCCCGCAAGAATCTTCTCTTCCTGATATCCCTTCCGTCCCAAGTAACGCGCCAGGTTCTCCCCCGACGCAGAAGATGGACATCGATGACCCCCAATCGGGAGGTCTCGAGCTTCCATCAACTCCCGGTACGATAGGTGGCTCGAGCTCTCTCCCAAAGCTACCAGATACACCGGGTTCTACGAATGCGCCTGCTTCTCATATTTCGCGGAATTCAAATGCCTTCCAGTCATTCCCACCACCGGCCGATACCCCATCCGTCCCTGCTCCAGACCCGGCGTCATTCTATGATCCTACAAGCGCCAGTGCCTATATCCCACCACCGGCAGCGTCGCCATCTGTTCCTCCAGCACGGGCGCCTGCTCCTCCCGCTCCTGCTCCTGCACCTGCACCCGCTACCCCGAGCCAACCCTCGCATTCGATAGATGACAACTCTATCACCCAGGCGCAGAAGCACGCTCGCTGGGCAGTATCTGCGCTGACATTCGATGATGTCGACACGGCAGTGAAGGAACTGAAGAACTCGCTGAAGTACCTAGGTGCATCATGAAGAAAGTAGTATACCGGTGTTTAATTTTGCTTGTATTACCGATTCTAACCTTTAGCCGCGTGAATATAGTTACACCGCGGGTGGATTGAAGTTTTGTATTCACTTCAAGTTTGTTACAAGTTTTTGGTACTACTACCTATCTGCATAGCTTTGCTACTTGAATCCAAGAAAGCTTCAAGTTACAATATGACGTGACCTCAAGAAGAAGAATATGCTGTGCATCATAAACGTAAAGGATCAAGTTTTGACCAAAAAAAAAAGATTTTATTTCTTCAATCGAAGTCTAAACTAATTGCAGTTCAAAGGGATATATGCCCGACATATGACGATGCTATGTGGTGGGAAAGATATGATGTGTAGAAAAGAAGGTGCAAGGCTCAATATGCAAATGCAGAATTGGTCAAGTGACTGGGACAGCTGAAGACCAAGGTTGTGTCAATGAGGACTTGAGTAAAAGAATGATTCAACAGTATATATGCAAGAAGTGTAAAAAAAATGTAAAAGGAGAAAGAGAAAAGGGAAAAGGGAAAAGGGCCATAAAAAAAGATATCAAAATCCCGACCAGAGAGAAAGGGTATTACAGAACAACGGCAGGCCCAGCAAGCGCGAAACTGGATTGTATCTGGTTCGACTTTTGACGAAGATGGAGGGTGGAGGGAAAAGGAGAAGGCCTGGGAGAAGAAGAGGTATCTTGGAGGGGGAAGAGGAGACGAAGGAAATCATCAAAAGATTCATGGCGAGGAGCGAGGTGCAGATGCTTCCTTCACTTTGCAGACACAAATTGTGACTGCAAAGTGATGTCGAAAATCGGGAAATTCTTTCAACAATATGAGACCGTAAAATTGTTCATGCGAGATCGAAAACCAACGAAAATAGGCCAGCGACAACTAGGTCGGAGAGGGGAGGCTTTATGGCCACCAGCCCATGCGCTTGTAGCTGTCGACCATGGTGCGAACACTGTCGGCGTTGAAGCGCTCGTACTTGGGCTTCCAACCCGTGGTAGACTCGAACAGTGAGCCGTCAATGGACATATCCTGATCCTTGAGGACATCACGCTCCAGGAAAGGACCAATGGGGCCCGGGCGCTCGATCTTGCTCTTCTCGACCAGTTCAGCCCACTCCTGCAGACTGACCTCGTTCATGTCGTCGACAACATCATCCAGGTTCATCTTGGCCAGCTGCGAGACAAGGGATCCGATGAACGAGACCTTGAGGCCAAAAACCTCGGACAGGGCATTGGCAACGTGCTCCTGCTGGGTATCGTTATGATCGACAACATTGAACGCCCAGGCAACGGAACTATCCTTGAAAATAGCCGGAGTTCCCTCGGAAGAAGCCGTTCGTCCGGCCCGCCACTCGGCAGCATGGAACAGGGCACTCGCAGCATCCTTGACGTGCAGCGTATTCACCTTGACATCCTTGGTGTAGAGAAGCTCGAGATCCTGTCCCATTTCGAGATGCACGCGGGCCAGACACAGCGCCATGGCAAAGTAGCCGGAGTTATATTCGCCATAGACGTGCGGCAATCGCAGGGCACAGTAGTTCAGGCCGTCGATCTTCAGAAGCTCTTCCGCGGCCTTGAGCTTCCATTTGGCTAGCTTGTGCCACGGCGCTAGCTTATCGAGTTCCTTGCGCGGCGAGGATCCGCTCTTATAGACGTGTGCGGTCGAACACTCGACGTAGGACTTGATGCCTCGCTTGGCGATTTCTTTGCCAAGGGTAATGCTCAGATTGTAGCTGCGCGCTTCGTATACATCGTCGGGCTGGGAGTGTCGTGTTTCGCCGCCACAGTTGATCACATAGTCGAATTGTTCGCCGTTGGATCGATCAAAGATACGTGGGAGGTGCTCTGCGGTAGGAGCGTTGTTAGTGTAGAGTTCTTTTTTGTCACATATTTTTTGAATATATTTTTCTTTAAAAATTTTTTTATACTGTCGGGATTTGAAACCCCTCAGTGATCTTTGTTTGGAGGGGGTAAATCGAGCGCCACTTACGTTCGCGGCTGGCGTCCGCTTGCACGAACTTTTCCTTAGAGCATGCCTCTTCAAATTCGGGGGCCAACCAGGCCAACTGTGGGAGAACCTTGTCGACTAATCGAACCTCCGAAGCCAAATTGTTCTCGTGGATGTGAAGAGCGAGATGGCGACCGATAAAACCTGGGAGGGGACACGGTCAGCTTTGGATCTTTCAGGAGGCGGGGAAATCGGAAATCGGCAGGTTGAAATCGGAGGGATACACACCGAGACCACCGATGATCAAAACGGCAGGCTTATTGGCGTCGGCCATGATGGGACAACAAGGAACAACAAGGAACACAAAAGGGGGCGAATAGCGCAGAGCAAAGAAGGACTGATTGAGGAGAGAAAAGGAGGGGGAAGGGAAAAGACTAAAGTGCGAAGCGACTCCGACTCACACGGGGCGAACCTCCCGGTGGTCCACTCATCCACTCAGTGGCATCGCTAGAAAATTCGGGAAGATCGCAAAATGCGCTTTGTGACCCCCTCCCCCCTTTTTAGTCAGGCTTAGCCCCTCCACCTAACGACGCCGTTGATCTATAGTCGCGCATTTAAGTGGAACCCTCAGTGGAGCTAGATTTCCAATTCGTCCAGGATGAAGTGACGTCGTGGTCCCCCCTGGTTGTTGCCCCATGGTTCTGGGCTGGAAGATCGCCGGGACCCAAACTTGAGATTTCCGGGGTTTGGGTTGATATGGATTGATATTGATTGATATCGAGATTGAGATTGATTTGAGATTCATACAAAGTACGAGTATGCACTATGTCCTCGGTTCATGGTCCTACCTGCATCCCATCAAACCTGACACTTTCCCTGAAACATCTTGTAGTTCCACTCTGCTACCCCCCCCTGATCCTTCCTACCCTAGGTAGGGTTCCTCTACTCCTTCAAGGTCACCTCAACACGGAATTCTGCCGCAGAAATCTTGCCCTGGTCATCGGCGTGCCAACCACACCCAACATGTCGCACCAACTCTTGCAGATCCCAGTCATTGCCTCGACGAATCACAAATTTCAAGTCAGACCATACGAGATGGACAACCGCATATGAGTATCGGGACTGATTGAGCTCGTAGTGCAGTTGCCACTCACTCGGATCGTCGCCATGGAACAGCTCGGACACCATGCGATCGATCAGCTCGGAACTAGTCCTGAACATCTGCCACGGAATGGACCGTGCTTTTGCCGGGGACCGTTCTTCCCGGACTAAAAAGTATGTTCGCTGGTCATGAGCGCCAGGGTTTTCGGGAAAGGCAATCTTCACTGCTTTCAAAGCATGGTTAGCATAGAATAGAGACTATCCGAGAGGGTTCAGTCGACTATACCGGGCTTTGAAGCTAGCTTGGGCCGAGCCGGAGCCTGAGCTTGAGCTTGAGCTTGAACCTGATCACGAGAGTTTGAGGATAAAGCCAGGGGGTTGCGATGAGCTTGCTTTCCGCTTGGTGAAGTATTTTCCTTTGCTGGCACGAAATTTCCTATCTGAGGAGGGGGTGGGACTTTCTTGACAAGGGTAGGGGAAGCCGAGAGATCCTTCTTGATTCGAGTCGGGGTTATCGGTTCCGCAGAGTGAGCTCGTGGGACTGCCCGGACAGCCTGAGTTGGCTGAGTAGATCGATTTAGCTGAGTTGTCTCAGTAGGTCGATTTGGTTGTGTTGGTTGTTTAGGTCGACTTGGCTGGGTTGGCTGACCTGCTTGGCCTGTTTGACTGGGCTTATTTGGCTGGGTTGCCTGGGTTGCCTGGGTGCTGCGTTGAACTGGCTGGGCAGGCTGCATTGGTTGCGTCGGCCGTGTGGTTGTGGGCTAGGTCTGGTCAGCAATGGTATATAAGACAAGGTCGCCCATATAGGTAGGTACCAGTTGTGAGATGGACTCCCGTTTGGGCTTGCTCTTGCCCCCAGCGATCTTCCAAAGCAGTATCACAACTGCCTTGGTAATTCTAGTTGAACCTTAGTGAGAAGATGACAGTAAAACGAGAAGCAAAAGCAAGGATAGAATAGGGTACTATTACTCACGGGTCCTTATCCTTTGGCCATTGGAAGTTGTCGTCCAGGCCATCGTTGGTGGTTAGGTACTTTCGCCTTTTCTCAACCTCATCCCCCCAATACTCTTTTCCGAATCGAGCGAGAAATTGTTGGGCGCAGGCGTCTCGTGTCTTGGAGTAATTAACTTCATCCCCTTCCATATCAACCAGCTTGAAGTTATGTTGTTCAGCAAAACTCTCCAGCTTGCGGCGGAAAGCGCTGAAAACCGGATCATCCTTGAAATCTAGAAAGGCGAGAAATTTGCTGTATGGGTGTTTCTTTGTCAAGAATCCATCGTCAACCATATCGGCTAGATGATCCTCGCTTTTTTCGCGCTCAGAACGCGGGCGAGCGTTCGCCATCTGGGGGTTATTAGTAAGTATTTCATGAGAGGAGTGGGAAGTGAAACCCAACACGGATGATCAACGAGGGGGCCAAAGAGGTTTGTCCGAAGTTTTGACGATCGAGATGTGGTTTTAAAAGATGAGAGAAGGAGAGAGAGAGGTGGGGGAGGGGAGAATAAAAGTGAGAAGATAGAGATGAGGATAGATTTGAGAGGCACTCAGGTAGCAGGGTTGGGAAGGAGTGATGGTGAGAAGAGAATGGAGAAGGCAAGGTGAAGGTGAAGAGGAAGGTGAACCCGGCAATGTCGAGGTATACCACAGTCCCCTTCTAGGTATGCCTCGCACTTACCATACTACTAGTACTACTAGTACTACTAGTTCATGGTTTATGCCCAGGCGGTTCGTGGTCCCCAAAGAACGTGGCATGCATGGGACGCTGCATGCATCTCATGCAGGTCACGCTGCATATGATCCACCTTGCATGCGTGGCGGCTCTTACGTTCCAAGCTTTGTATCCCTGTTAGTTGTACATACACAATAGGTATCCTAGGGTACCTAGGGGACTTAAGATATCTCCAGATCTATCCGACACTACCACGGTACTAGTAGTAGGCACCCCCATAGTATGCAGTTTTGTACCTAAGGAGGTACTAACTCGGAAGCCTGATTGAAACTGGGTAAGCTTTCATGGCAACATCTTAGTATACCACTACTAGTACGTTGGACTACAGTGAACAAGAGCTGAATAACACAAATGGTAGATAGAATACATTGCGATCTTCCTGTATAGATTCTATGAACTGACCAAGGAAAGCAAGAGACAATCCCGATGGCTATAGAAGAGCGAAACCGAGATCAAGATCAAATCACTGTATCCAGTGCAGGTGCGTCTTTTTCGGATGTTTGTTTTGTTCTTTTTGTTTTTCAATGTTCGTTTTTCGGGACTTGCGAGACTGGTCGTGGCGCGTTCCGTATGGGTTTGGTCAGAAGAGTAAAAAAAAAGAAATGTCGGGTTTGGGCTTCGCCAGAACCCATGATGGTTGAAGAAAGCCAACATGAAAAAAAAGGAAAAGGAAAAATGGAAACAAGCAAAAAAAGCAAATGAGATTCAGACATTCCCCACTGTGCAAACGGAGATTGATCGGATGAATGCCAGCAACAGAGTCTATGGTCGGTGTGGGCGGGATCAAAATTCCCAGTCTTCTTCAACAGACTTGATAGCCCATTCGAACTTTTCACGCAAGGCCTTTGAGAAGAACTTCTCGATAGGGACGTTAAACTTCTTGCTGAAGACGACGGTGAGACGAGGGTCGATGTAGTTCTGTGAAAATGTTAGTGGGTGCTCGTACCGACCAGCAATCTGGATTGACTCACGATCTTCGAGGTGCCGAGAGCAACCTCCTTGTTATCCTCCTTATCCTGGGCCTGGATGGACATGGTGTCGACACGTTGATCGATCTTGGTGATGTTGGCCTCGATCTTCTCAACGGTCGGCCCACGACCTTCTACCTCAACCTTGCCGGTCTTGTTTTCCTTGTTGAATTTCTTCTCCATGTCCTTGACGACCTCAAGGCGCTCGTTCAATTCAGAGGCCTTCATTTCCTTCTCGCCGTCAGCGACTCGCTTCTCGTTGTCCTTCTCAAACTTCTTGTTGATCTTCTGGGTCTGTTCCTCGATCAGGAAAGCCTGATGCTCCTTGATCCATTCCTTGTCGAGATCCTCATCAATCTCGAAGAAAGCAGCGCCTTTCTTCTTCCTAAGGCTTGGCTCCAGGTCAAGCATCTGCTGCTTCAAACGCCATTTCTGATAGCGAAGTCCCTTGATCTATTGTGAAGGACAAAGATTTAGTATGAATCGACAATACCAGCCAAAAAAAAATTGAACTCACCCGTTCGCTCATCTTCTCCATCTGGCCGGCGTGGCCAGCAGTCACAGTACGCTTGTGGTTACACAAAATGGCGACTTTGCGGTTTGCGTCGTTATAGGTCTTGACCTTCTCGGGAATGTTACCGGATGCCTTGATTTCCTTGAGCAGCCTGCTCATGGTGTATGAAGCGTTGTATGTACGGAAGACCTTGGCAGTCAGGCCGGGCATGTAGTTCTGAAGATGCTTGTTCAAGGCCGAAGTCTAATACCATCATATTAGTTATTTGTCCAAGGCCTTATTGAAAGGATAAGGTAGACATACCGTCAGGCGGTCAAAAACTTCGTCACCATCCTTCTTGGGTGCTTTCTTGAAGATCTTGAGGTTCTTGAAAACTTGTGCATCGACCTTGACCTCGTCGTAGAATCGAATACTATCCTTACCAAGGAAGTCGAAGATGACAGTATTTGGGGGCCTCAACGAGATGTTCTCGTATTTCAAAGAGCAGCAACCAACGGTCTCAGCTTCATCTTCACCTTTTTCGTTTCCGGCACGCAAGGCGAATTGATCGATGAGGTACACAGCCGTGGCCTTTTGGCGCTCGACCATCAGATCGTTTTTCAAGTTCTTCTGATAATCCTTGCGAATCTTGTCGATATACTTCTTGAGCTCTCGCGCCTTTTCGAATTTCTTGTAGTCGCTCTGTCCCTTGACATCGGAATTGGCAGCCAGCATGACATATTTGTAGTTGCCGTTGATGTTCTCTTGCCACATGGCTAACCATGTGCCTTCTTGATCATGCTTCACTTCTTTCCATTTGTGCCCAGCCGGAGGCGGGGGGACAGTGGCCTCCTTGCCAATGTTGATAGTAATTTGTTCGGGCTGGACGCGAGTCTTGACGTGGCCAGTTTTGGGATGCTCACCACGCCCACGGAAAAGCGAAGGAGGCTCAACACGGAAGTTGCCAACTTTCTGCTTGCGGCCATCCCATGTACAGAATTGGAAAGCAGCTTCTTCCTCATCCTTCTCGGCCTTCAAGCGCTTCTTTTCCGCAGGGGGCAGATTCTTCTTTTCGAGGCGCTTGGCATCATAGTATTCGAAGATTGGCTTGAAGTCACACTTGGCGAATTCCTTGACATCGATCTTATTGCCTTGTGAATCCTTTGCACCACCAGTCTTTTTGATGATGTCCTTGAAATCTCCGAAAAAGTTCTTCTGGAAGGTAGGGTTCTCGACGTTGTGGGTTGAGTTGAGCATGCTTCCGAAGAATCCGGCGACTTCTTCGGCGTCAGGGTGCAGTGAAATGGGCACTCCATCATATCTCATCTTCACATTCTTCGGCAACACCTCGTAATCCGGAGGGAAGACCACGCCACTGTGCTCCAAGGTGGTCCACTTCTTGGTACCATCGCCCTTGGTTGGGTCTTCCCACCACCGGTATTCATCCTCCTCGCCTTCCTTCTCATCAAGATCCTCGCTCTCGGCCTTGATAGCGCCCTTACCCTTTTTGACGGCGGGAGAGGCTGGCTGGGCCTTGGCCTTCTTGATAGTGGACTTATCATCTGTGGCCTCCTTCTTGACGCCGTTGGCTTTCTTCGCGGCAGGCTTGGCCGCCTTTGCGGGGGCCGCCGCAGATTTGCGTGCGGCCGGAGCGTCCTTCTTGGCCTTTTGCTCGATCTTCTTCTTCTGCGCAGAGAGTCGCCTCTCAATTGGAGCGTCGGAATCAGACTCCTCGCCAATGGCCGTTTCCGAAGCCTTCGGAAGCTTTCGTCCGTTCAGGGCCAAGGGAACGTCCTCATCGGTTTCAGGATCTTCATGCTTCACTGAAGTTCGTCGGCGTTTGCTCTATCGAATGGTCAGTCGCCGAAACCAAGAGCGACAACAAGGTCGCGAGGGGAGACTGTGGGTCAAATTTGCGATATGGTGCTGCGTACCAATGGTTGATCATCATCATCGCTGCTTTCCGGCTCAGCGTAGGTCTTCTTCTTGTCGATACTGGCACGGGATTTGCGCTTGCTCACGCCACGGGCATCTGCATCTTCCATATCCACATCCTTATCTTGTACAGGGCCGAAACGAATTGACACGCCCGGGTCAACGTTGCCATTCGTTTCGATAGGAGAGGGTTTCGCAAGAGGTTTCGCCGAATGAGGGAGCAACTGAGGTTGTAGGGATCGTCATGTTAGCTTAAATTGATGAAATGGTCAAGATGTGAGACGAAAGGAAGATGATGCGCGGGAATGATGCGAACAAGTGAGAGGAAGATAAGGTAATGGTATGCGGTTAAGATGGAAGTGAATTGTCGAAGCAGGAATAAGAGCCGAAGGGGTGCATATGCCAGCGGAGTGACATTGGGGAGATGCTTACCACGGCCATTCGCGCGCGAGAGCGGAATATCATCCTCCGACGAACTCATGATGGCGGTTGAAGCTCCGGGAGGAATTAAGCGCGAGAAAGAACGAAGTGGGCTGGGGGCGAAGTATGGAGGTAGTCCTCGTGCGCCTAGTCGGGCAAACCGAGCCGCCTGAAGTAGAAGGATGATGAAGTCAGGGAAATTCTGACCAATGACAAGACAGTTAAGATGTTAAGAAGTGAGGATGCATCAATGATGCTAAGATATGGGAGAGAGAGAGGGTGGACGTTCACACAAGACCCAAGTTAGGGAGGGAAGGAAGGAAAAAGTAACCAGCAAGAGGGAAACTCGCAGAGCCAAGCGGCAGAGGAGGAAGGGAATGTAGGAAAACCAAATCAAACCAGGCTTCACTGGGGCTGGCTGACTGACCTCAGAGAGAGGGCGAATGCACGTGACTAGACAGAATAGGCACTACATTGTACATTTCACGTGACTCGCTGAATTCTGCGGTAGAAGCCGGAACGGCGTACCGTAGATGCCTACCCAATCGGGTTTAGCGCGTCCTCCCGGCCAGGAGTTCAACTTCGCACCTTCCCGTCCTCCTCTTCAAGCCAAAGCGGTCTTTGTATCTCTTGCACCACCCCCCCGACCCTCCCTCCTCCTCCTCCCGCAGATTATCCTGCCCCTCTAACCTTCTCAACTCCCTTATAATGTTCTCTCGTGCCGTTCGCCCGGCCGTTCGGGCTGGCAGCGCTGCCGTCGCTCGGTAAGTCTCTCTTCCGATGCCCGCTCGTGGCGCCAGGTCTTTCTATCCCGATACCCGCAAAGGAGGAGAGAAAACACTGTCAACGCAGCTCCATGTCACCATACTCGGACTCAATTGTTTCTCGAAACAAGTCGAAACTCGTTCGATTGCTAACCCGACCTTCCAAAGCACCGCCCCGCCCAATGCCGCCAACTTCGCGACTCTGCGTGAGATCGAGGGCCGTCTCAAGTCCATCAAGAACATCGAGAAGATCACCAAGACCATGAAGATTGTTGCCTCGACCCGTCTTACCCGTGCCCAGAAGGCCATGGATGAGTCCCGCGCCTACGGTCAGACCTCCAACACTGTTTTCGAGCAGGCCGAGACCAAGCCTCTGGAGGACCAGAAGACTCTTTACGTCGTTGCCAGCTCCGACAAGGGTCTTTGCGGTGGTATTCACTCCGGTCTGAGCAAGGCCACTCGCCGCCTGTTGGCCAATGACCCCAACGCCCACGTCGTCATTCTCGGCGAGAAGGCCAAGGCCCAGCTCTCCCGTTTCGCCCCGGATAACATCCTCCTGAGCTTCTCCAACGTCTGCAAGGATATCCCCACCTTCGCCGATGCCCAGGCCATCGCCGACCAGATCAGCCTGCTGCCCACCGACTACAGCAGCGTCAAGATCATCTACAACAGCTTCCTGAACGCCCAGAGCTACGAGGCCACCGTCCTTGAGGCTTTCTCCGAGGAGGCTATCACCCAGTCCGGTAGGCTGAGCTTGCGCGCTCACCCGCGAACGTTTCCTTGAGAATATGGGCTAAATTATTCATTTTCCAGCCAACATCTCTGCTTTCGAGATCGACGATGAGGCCCTTGCCGGTCTCCGCGAGTACGCTCTTGCCAACAACCTCTTCTGGGCCATGGCTGAGGGCCACGCCTGCGAGATTTCCGTAGGTTCACCCCGCAATTCTCTTTTACCCAAGTCACCTTTTCTTTGGCTAACCTGTTTTATTAGGCTCGTCGCAACGCCATGGAGAACGCCTCCAAGAACGCTGGTGAGATGATCAACAAGTATGTTGCCCCGCTTTTTACACCCAGCAAGTTTGAAACTAACAACTTCCCAGGTTCCAGATTCTCTACAACCGTCAGCGTCAAGCCACTATCACTGGTGAGCTGGTTGAGATTATCACCGGTGCCACCGCCTCTGCCGACCTGTAGAAGCCTCCTTCTACTGCATGAAGTCGCCTTCGGTGTAGACTTGTTGATATTTAGATCGACCCTCCGTTTGTGTAAAATCAGTGTCAATCCATTTCAATTTCATATGTATTCCTGGTAATATCGACTTGCATCGCCCTGTAGCCCGTTGTCTGGTACGAGTGCCTACTAGTACTGGCTGGCGCCTGGTTGACTGGCTTGCGGGGTGCGTATCAATTTTGCTTCCTGCCCTGGGGTAGCACCCATTTTATTCACTGCTGCTGCTGGTTCCTTCCCAGGACTGTTACTTGTGTCCCCGTCGACTACTACTTCCTTCACCTTTCACCTTCCCTTCCCCTCCCCCTCCACACTTGCATCTCTTATCTTTCCACCATCCTATTCCTAAGGTTTTGTCAAACTGATCACAGTGACAAGAACCTCTCTCCCTGCCAAACCTTTGAAAAAGCACAAACCTGTGTGAGCCATCGAATATTCTCAAGTCTTATCAGATCCCTCCTTAAGTCGGACAGCATGTCCGCTCAATCGGCCTCGGTCGATTTCTATGCAGCCCTGGACATTCCCCGAACTGCTACGACCCAGGAAATCAACGCTGCGTATAAAAGGTTGGCTCTCAAGTATCATCCGGACAAGTGCGGCGAACGTTTTCTGGAAAAGTTTCGCGAGGTATGTCATCCCAGCAGCAAAATCGATACGTGCTAACAACCATCTTGCAAAGATCACGGAGGCCGCTGAGTGTCTCCGCGATACTAAGCGCCGTGCTGACCATGACCGTGCCCTCGGACACGTCCCTCGCGGTTTGAACAATAACCGACGTCAACCACGTCGATACACCCGTGAGGATGACTGGCGAAACTGGAGCTCGGAGAAGCGGCCCTGGAGAAACGATGAATTCAACTACAACTTGAAGAACCCGCAGGACTGCTACATGTACTCGTACGGCTCAAGTGTCCACATGGACCCCAACTCTGCAGAGTCTATGGCAGAGTCCGATCGTATCTCCGCAGAGGCAGAGAGATGGGCAGCAGAATATGCAGGTAAAGAATAACCTTGGTCTACTCAACCAAGCTGGTATATGCAAGAATCGAGCTGATGAAATCATAGCAATGCAAGCTGAGTACGAAGCCGAGTCCGTAGCCCAGTCTGCAGCTGAGACGAAAGCTGAGAATGAAGCTTTCGAGCAGGCCAGTCTTAACAGATGGCCAAAGAGCGCCCAAGATCCTGTTTCTGAAACTAACCAGGCCGCCGAACCCGCGAGGGAAGCTGAGCATGTAGCTTTCAAGGAGACCTATGAATTTGACACATGGTCAAATGATGGCCAAACTTCGACTCAGTCTGAGTTTGAAACACGGTCCAAGAATCCTCAAGGAAAAGGGTTTGAAACTAAACAGGCCACCGAAACTGATCGAGCTGCCAAATGGAAAATGCCCGGGCAATACTCCTCCAGTCAATTCGACTCCATTTACCACTCGACGCTCGACGTTCCTCCTCGACCGGACATAAATGAGTTATTTACCAGCGGTATTGACAGCGAAATCCCTGGGCAATACCCCTCCGGTCAATTCCGTACTTCCACTCACCAATCTGGCCACAAGTACCATTCTGGTCAAGTCTCCTCTCCTCAACCGGACTGCAAAACTTCGCCGGATGAATACTACGATTGCAGTGAGCATTTTGGTACAGGACCTAGCGTTAATTGCAAACCATCCCCCAAGAAGACAAGCAGAGCGGACCGAGCAAATGTCCAGGAACTTGTTACCGCCGAAGGCCCTCTGGGGCCGTTCTGTCCATACTTCAATGCCAAGTTGGCCGATGGAAGTGAGCTCTATAGCCTGGACGACATGGCTATGGAGGTAAACGGTATCATCGGCCAGATCATGTTTGAATGGATTTTGGTCTTAAAGCAGCAAAGTGGAGTTATGGAGCCACTTATCGACTTTGAGGACGATGGGACCTGCTCTCACCAATGTGAGTGGACTAAGGAATTCGGCCTCCCACAGTGTACAATCTGCCGCTTCTGGAAGCCCATTTACATGATGACCTGTACAAAGTGTGGCATCAACAGGTGCATATGCTGCAGATTTTGAAGGCTTAGAAATGGTCCACAGTGTGATTTTGAGAAGGCGTGATTTCCGTCAAGATGTCATGCATTTTATTTGCCTTTGCTGAAAGGATCTGGCATTTGACATGTGTGTTAACTGGAGCATTCTTTTGCTGGGCTGGTTTTCTTATTTCTCTCCCGTCATGTTTTTGTTTGCTTTGACACATTTCCCATCTGACATTCCTTCATTCATTGTCTTTCATTCTTCTAATTCATGAGTTGACTGGTGCATTTCTTGCTATGTTGATTTTCCTCTACCTCACCCCCCATGTCCCTGTTTGTTTTGATGTGTTTTCCCTCGCACATCTCTTCACTCATTGTCGTTTATTCTCCTGATTCTCTCGATCAGACAAGCGATTTTTGACGACCCTAGTTGCCACTCAGTGCTGGGTGGGACTGAAAACATTTAGGTATTGTTATCAGCATAGGTTCAATGAAATCATTCAAGTAGTCAAGTTTGAATCCAATATTCAGACTGTTAGCTTGACTGCCCCAAGTTGCCTTCCTCTTACCTGGTTCTATACGAAAGTCTAGTATTTAGTCCCTTGGGACTAAATACTAGACTCCCGACATGGGTGGCTTTCTACTGACTATATATAGATTTGTTATACCAAAGTACCAGGTAAGAAAAAGGGAGATACTGTTTATTTTTGGTTCAAATCATTACACGCAATCTTTTTTGATATCTATAGTAAACTTTTAGAGTCATTACAGGTCGTAAATCAGGTTCGTTATTAAACGGGAGAACAGTTTGCAAGGTTTCCAAAGGTCGACCTAGGAAATGCAAATCGTTGGATGTGCTACGCCGTGCAACTTGGGATTCATCGGTCGAATCTATAGATCACCAATTCCCTATTAGAGTTCTCGCCTAGGAGATACCTTTCACACCCACTTATTTTTCCTCTACCCGTGAAATCCAGGTTGGCGGTGGTCACTTGGGAAGGCTCTTCGTAAGATCCCAAGACCTGATATGTAAGGCTGATAGTTTGATCCTTGAGCTCAGGCTCTCTCCGGTCCTCGACCCATTTGGCAGGATCAAAATGCAGGCAGAAGCTGACGCCGGCTTGCTGGTCAATGACCTGGGCAATGGTCCCGTACCAACATTCAGCCATGATAGCTAACACACTTATCGGTGATGTTTGCAGGCTGCAGTTACCCCGGTAAGCTGGGAGTATCAAATCGCTCTGCTGTCGCCAATGAGGACCACAGCCTTGCATGGGAATGCTGGTCACAACAGCCATGGGCAAGCCGAGCGGGTCCGCGACTGTCAACCAGGTATTGATATTTTCTGTAATTTCCACTGCTAGGCTATCGTCGGTAATTTCGAGCCGCTGCACGCTCAGGCATCCTCGTTGTCGAACGCCGAAGAACTCAAGGTCTCGGAAACCAAAACGAGCCACGATCGCTGGTGATTCGTCGCCTTTGGAGTCCTCGTGTTTTCCTGTTGGATCGAGCGATGGACGGTAAGAGGACGGGGTTGAGATGTCCCAAACAAATAAGGATTCAATGGGCGCGTCCTCGTCGGCTGTGTATAGGCTGCGATTGGGCTGCCAAATATAAATCACATAGTGCGTGTTACTATGAGAGGAGAAGAATCGATCTCGCTCACTGAGCGGGTGGCCAAGGAACATAATCTTCCACTCATTCCGAGCCGTGATCTCCCAGCCGTCCGCGATACTCGGCTTCACATCAAAAGATGAGGCAAAATGACGATGCACGCCGTCACTGTCGTTGAGCCAGTGGAAGGCCTTTGGTTCAGCCCACTCGACTACCAGCAATTGTTTCTGTAATCGGACTCGGCGTACGACTTTCCCAGTGGTGGTAAAGGGAATGGTAAATTGCCGGTCATTGCTCAAATCCATCAGTACCAGACACTGATGTTCAGCACTCGGAAACACCAGTAAATCCTGATCATGCGTCCACAGTGCCTCGGAGAACTGGCGGTCGACAAACTGTCTGACATGGCTCGCGTGCGACTCCCATGGCGGGACCTGGAACCATTCACGGTCCCCCGCGGCACCAAAGTCGTCACACAGGCGGTGTTTTTGAACGGAGCGGGGCTTTCCTCGCTCGAGATAATCATAACGCGAGGCAACCTGGTCAAAGAGGGAGCGGATGACGATTGGATCGGTGCCGGTACCAGCCCCAGTACTGGTACTGGAGCCGACGTGGAGCCCTTCGAGCTCCCTAGTGCGAGGGAAGTGCCTTTTCATGAGTGGGACCAAGATGGCCGGGTTGCCGAAGGCCTCATTCCAAATGCGCGAGACTCGGCGGCATCGAACCAGATCCGGTGGGGTCAAGTAGGCCAGGACGAGCCAGAAAATGTCCCGTGGCAGAAATACCAGGTCATAACCATTATCCTGAAGAAATTGATCACCGTTGGGGTACGAGGTCATCGCTGAGCACAACGGTAGTAGCAAACCAAAAAAGGGCGAAGCTTCTCATTGGAGAGAAAAGCTCTCTCCGCATGCCAAGAGCTTCAGGACACCTTGCACTCTTGCCACTCTTCCCATTAATGCATTGCTCTAGCCCGTCTACTGGGTAACTATCGAGTAGTGGATTGAAGGCTTCTATCACATACCTCTCCCCGTCTCTCCACTATGCTGCCACCCAGCTCTTTGTTGCTTGTCGCCTCTCTGTTGGTGGGCGCCAACGCTGACGGTATCTACACCAAAAAGTCCCCGGTGCTTCAACTCAACCAGAAGTCTTATGGCTCGTTGATTGCCAACTCGAATTACACTTCGGTGAGATTGCTCTCTTTTCTTCTTCTTCTCATTTTATTTTATTTCCCTTTTGTTTTCTCTTGACTGACTATATACTAATCACCCTATTGTGTATAGATCGTCGAGTAAGGTCTCCCCGCATCCTCCAATTCTCCTCCAACTTCCTCCCCGCTAACTCAAACACCCTCCCTCCGCAACAGATTTTACGCTCCCTGGTGTGGTCATTGCCAGAGCTTGAAACCGGCCTATGAGAAAGCTGCCACCAACCTAAACGGCTTGGCCAGAGTGGCCGCCGTCAACTGCGATGAGGATGAGAACAAACCCTTCTGCGGCCAGATGGGCGTGCAAGGATTCCCGACCCTGAAAATCGTCACCCCCGGCAAGAAACCCGGACAGCCCAGAGTTGAGGACTACCAAGGCGCACGCACCGCCAAAGCTATTGTTGACACAGTTGTTGACCGAATCCCCAATCACGTCAAGCGCGCCACAGACAAGGACCTGGACAAATGGCTTGGCCAGAATGAGGAACGACCCAAGGCTATTCTTTTCACAGAGAAGGGTACCACAAGTGCCTTGATTCGTGCCTTGGCTGTTGACTTCCTGGGCGCCATTGATGTTGCCCAGGTGCGCAGCAAGGAAGCCGCCTCTGTGAAGAAGTACGGCGTGTCAGAATTCCCCGCGCTGGTCGTGGTTCCCAGTAGCGATGTGGACGCCCAGCTGTATGAGGGCGAACTTAAGAAGCAGCCTATCCTAGAATTCCTTGGTCAATTCGCTTCGCCAAACCCAGACGCCACCGGCAAAGCCGCCTCTGCCTCTACAGACAAGTCCAAGTCCAAGCCCAAGCCCAAGCCAAAGGCCAAGCAGCCGCCAAAGCAGCCAGAGACTGAAGACGACACACAGTCAGACGAAAGTGAAGAGCCGGAGGCCAAACCCGTTCGGGAGCCGGAGCCAATTCCTCCCCTTTCAACACTCGCTACTGCGGAATCTCTCGAGTCATCCTGCCTAGCCCCGAAATCGACCACCTGTGTTCTTGTTCTTCTCCCAGAGGCAAGTGAGGCAGATGCCGAGCTCCCCTCTTCTGCCACCGATGCTTTGTCCAGCCTGGCAGAGATCGAACACAAGCATTCCTTGCGTGGTGCCCGCCTCTTCCCCGCTTACTCGGTGCCGGGCGTCAACACTGGATCCCAAGCGCTGCGCACCGCACTGGGCCTGGAGGATGACAAGAAGGTGGAGATTATCGCCATCAACGCTCGCCGTGGATGGTGGCGCCGGTATGGAAATGCCGAGGACTTCGGAATCGCCGCCGTTGAGAGCTGGGTTGATGCTATCCGCCTTGGCGAAGGTACGAAGGAGAAGCTACCGGAGGGTATCATTCGTGACGAGGAGGCCGAAACTCAGGAAAAGAAAGCAGAGGCCGACGCGGAACATGATGAGCTGTAAAGGAATCATCAACTAGTGCAGAGAAGTCAAATCTGTGTTGCTTTATGAACATGAATAGCCGTTGCATTCTAGCTGAATTGAATCTAAAATGTTTCAATCTACATTGGATCCGTCAAAGTGTAGAAAGCCATCAGGTCATTCATATATACAAGAGTGAAAGGCCCAACCAGCCTGAGTTACAGAACAGGTGTGGATCTTACACTCCCCGTAGAATACAATCAAGTGGTAAAAAGAAAATCACAGGAACACCGTGAGGAAATGCCAAAGAACGCCACCCCATACACACAAAATCAATCAATCAATCCTCGGTGCATCTATTTTTTGCGGCCTTCAGTGCCCTTCTTGATCATCCTCTGTCTCTTGGAGTCGACCTCCTTGTCGAAGATATCCCGCGCGGTATCGCCCTTCTTGCGTTTCGAGGGCTTGGTCTTGATGCTAACCGTTGAAGCACCTCCGCCACGGATCTGCTTTTCAGCATCATCCCAGGTCGCAGCGCCGTTGTCAATTTCGTATCTGGAGACTAGGGATCAATTATGGTTCATTCGAGACTAATTTTGTAGTAGGGCGGGAGAAAGAGGTTATTTACCTGTCCAACGGAAGGGAATCGATAAGAGCACGCTGCTTCTCACGCAGCTCCTCATTGACTTCCTCGCCACCTTCACGGAGCTCGTCGTCAAGGCTGGTCTCGAGGGGCTTGAAGCGGTCCTCCACGATGTCGTCGTCATGAGCACCGCCAGCGGCCTGGGATGCTGAGATCTGCTGGGCGGGGATAGACTCCGCGACAGCGCCTTCGACCAGACCACGGAAGTGGGTAGAGACTTTGCGAACGATCTTCAAGAACATGGCGAGAAGTTGGGAAGAGGGCAGGTTCAGCTCCTTCTCAACATCGTCCAGACTCTTATGTTGCAGACCAATGGCCAGCAGAATAGACTGCTGCACGCCAGAGAGGCTAACCTTGCCGGAAAGACGGTTGGCGAAGTAGTATTCAGAAATGAGAGGGATCATGTCCAGGATGACGTGGTAGTCAAGAAGGTTGTTGGCATAGCTGTCCAGACGCTTCAGGTCGAAAGGAGAGAAAGTAGCGTCCAGGTCGGCCTTCTTAAGAAGACGCTGCACGGCTGCAGCGTCCAACTTCGCGCCCGCATTGGCAGATTCGCAGATGCTGAGAGAGAGTACGGAGGGGAACTCGCGGAACTGGTAGGAGAGAAGGGCCAGGAATCGACGGTGGAAGTCACGGGCGAATGCGCCCAGCCAAGCAGCATCGTTGGTACCGGCAGACAAAGTGCGCAGCATCACGCAGGAGTGCTCGCCAGTGAGCTCGTTGGGTGTTTGGCGCAGATAAACGGGGACGAAAGAGGAACGCTTCCAGAATTTGTGGAGAGTAGGGGTGAGACCGTAGCTGACACCGATATAATCAAGTTCGTCAGGGCGACGTTCGGTGAGCTTGCCAAACAGAGGAGGCATGGAGCGAATATCTCGGACCTGGACATTATCGTCCAAAAGGTTTGAGTTGGTGAGCTCAGCATCAGACACACGGACCATCTCTTCCTGGGGACGGCTCATATCTTCGTCCAGGCTGGTGAACTTGCCCTCAAAATAGTCAACAAGGAGCTCCATGGCGCGTGAGCCGTAGCCCATTCCAGTATACTCAGGGTTGGTCGCAATGCGAACAACACGGGCACCTGAAAGACCAGCGAAATCCTCATCTTGGAATTGCTGGCTGACCAACCAAGGGATCAAGTCACCACCAGCACGTTGACCACGGCTCAGACTGTTGAGAACACTCTGTTTGCTGATACGACCTTCCAGAGCAACTTGAATCACGCAGAGCGGCTCCGGAAGCTTCGTGGCCTCCTCGTCGATAGGCGGAACAAGTACATAGAGCTGGTGTGCAGGGGCATCGCTCATGAGTTGAAGATCGTTAGGGGTATTCTTGTAGTGACTGGCAACATAAAGGGCCATCATCTGTTGCAGGAACTTCTCCGAAACGGGATGGAAGGAGAAGAGGGTGTCACGGTTAACCTGAAGCAGCTGGCACTTCGATGGGTGTGGGCAGCCTTGTGTGTTCATACGAGACTTGGGCAGGGTAGCATCAAGGCACAAGACCTTGTTCAGCCATTTCTCAACAGAATCACCGGGGGCATAACGAATCGGCTCTGCGAGTGTGATCTCTCTGAGTGACCGGCCACCAAGGCTCTGGTCTGTGCTCTTGGAGACCTTTCCGGTGCTGCGATCAGCAACATCAGTATCGTTGGCCTTGAGTCCACCCCGGGATTGTTCACGAAGCTGTTGAATCAGCTTCAGAGAAAGGGATCGACCAGTTCCTTCGTAACCGTTGATGGTGGACGCCATGAACACGAGGTAAGGGCCCATCAACTTCCGGACCAAGGGCAAGGGAATAGCAGCGGCCTCATCAATAACAAGAAGTTCCGCTTGACCCAGAACATGCGCATCTTGGGGCTGGATGTACTGGATGGTCTGACGGTGGTTGCGGTGAATGTTAACCCTGACAATGGCCTTGTTGAAGTCGGGGTTGGTAGACTGCAGGATGGTGTAGTCAACGTGGTCGAGATAGCCGAGGGCATCGAAGCCCTTGAAAACAAATTCGAAAAGAGTCTTCAAGTTCTCAGGGCTGGGAGAGGTGATGAAGATATTGCTATATCCGTGGGCGATGGCAGCGGCAATTGAAACTCCCAGAGCTGCGGACTTTCCTCGTCCACGTCCAGCAGTAAGTGTTACTGTGCTCTTCAGGGTCTTCTCGGCAATCGCATCGACGAACGTCAGAAGAGCCTTGGCCTGGTCTGTAGTACGAGCCAGCTGAACGAGAGGTCCCACGGGCTGGGTCTCAGCCAGGCTCTCCTTGATATCCTTCAGCTCCTTCTTGGTACCCGAGCTCGAATCGTCAGTTGACTCGGAGGGGGAGCGGCTTGACATTCTTTCCGCCGGAGATGGGCAACACGTTCAATTCGTCATCGACAACCAAGCAGGAATCGCAGCTTCCGAGAGAAAGGATGAAGCGCTCGTTGAATCGAGCGACCACATCATCGTGTGCCTCGGTTCGGTATCGTGAGTGGATATCCATCGACATCGTGTACAGTTGTTTCAAGCTGTTCATACTCTTCAGCAGCAGCAAAACCATACCTCCTCCCTCGACAGTCTCAACGGTACGTGCCAACAGGTTGGGGGTCATAGCCTCGAAATCTTGCAGAATACACATGCCGTATGTGTTACCCAGGATTTTCTCGGTTTCCTTGTAGTAGACATAGCGAATATTGTTGAGAGTGATGAACAGCTCGAACGGATCCTCCTGGTTCGGTTCCCGAATACCACGCTTGACCTGACTCTTGATCTTGGCCTCGCGCTTCTTGCGATGGCTAGTGAAGCCCAGCAGGTCCTTCTTGTACGCCCACAGTACCGACTTGTTCTGCTTCACATCGACACTCGACATGATATAATGAAGGTTGACAATTACATCCTTGGCCCGGTCACCAACCACCACGAAGAAGCTACGCTTCTTCTCTTGGACGCCATTCCGAATGAGGGCGGGGATGCGCGAGTCAATCGCTTTGCGCGGCATGATGAAGGTGCGGAGCTGACCGCGAGATTGATCGGGGCTTAACGCTCGCTGTCGATTCGGTAATCGCGGTGATGAAGAGCGAGATTGACTTGAGCAGGTCGAATCCTGCAAGTCTGTGGCTTCGCGGGGAATGACCACCAAAGTCGAGTTGCTGGTAATTAAACAACAAAAAATTGGACCCGTTTGGATTGCTATAATTTTTTTTTCTGGTCAGGTCCGATCCGCATACTGCAGTGCCGGACCGCCTTCTTCTTGAGTCAAGTTCTGTCACCGCCTTAGAGGGTCACATGACTCTCACTCACCTGACCATAAATAAGCACGTGACTATTTATCACATGATATCACGTGACATGACATAACAAGGCATCCTCAATGATCCATCGATCCTTTCCCAATTGGTGAAATCAGACCCAAGACCCTTATTTCACCTGGGAATCCCCACTTTCTTCCGAATCGCCTCAACCGATGACGCGTGCTCTTGAGCCAACAATTTCTTTTGGCCGAGATGGGATAGTCAATAATATCTCTATGTACGAGTATCGAGTTGGGTTCTATGAAACGTCGCCATCCATGCCGTGCGCCTCACAACCAGTCTGTGCACACGCGATGTCAAGACAGGCCCCAAGTGGAGCCGCCTGGGGCAGGGGGCGGGAGCCAAGTTTCGATTGACCTGGTTCTGGATGCCGATCCACTTCGGCATATCTTTGCTGTTTAAGCGCATTCCCAGTGAAAAACAAGGAGTTGGCTCGCACGGTGCCAATTTGATGGGCTCCACCTGTTTCATTGGCCTGTACGAGTACAAATCTGTGAAGCCTATCGTACTCATGGGGAGTGCCCTCGGCAGCATGAATTTACTCCCCATTATTAACGCTAACTATATTAGTGGTGCTTTAGTTGGGTGGTACTCCGTACACTTATCCTGTATCGTTAAGGTCCGGCGCACAGGGCCCATGGTTACGTGCTTCCAAGGAAAATTAAACGCCCCAGTTGACGCAACTTGATCGCCAAGGGAGCCACCATGATGCCGCTCCTGATTAGCTGTCCGGCCAATGGCCATTGCCCATCAAAACCTGGCTGGGCCACGCAGATAATGCCTGGGTTTCCACCGCAGGCCCTGTCCCTTGAATCCTGTCCGGAATTCTCTCCCTGTGCTCTTCGCACGTTTCGCTGAATACTATCCCGCCCTCAGAGTCGGATGCCAACTGCGAATCGTGGCGCAATGGGTTGCGAGTCGATACTGAACCGGTAAATCCTCGGCGCAAGATGGTTCCATTCTCTGCGGAAACTGGACTCAAGGTCTGTGTGGGGTAAGTGAGCTTCCAGCGATGGCATTGCATGCCGAACCTCAGCTAGAGTTCAACTGCTGAACTGACAATTTCCGATTATCTAGGGTGTTTGTTATAAGCTCCTTCTTTCTGACTACCTCCTACAACTCCACCTTCGCTTTTGGTAAGCTTGCCCTTGCTCTTGCTCTTGGACAAGTGACACGGGCTAACTTCTCAGACCGTCCGGTGAGTACTGCCGTACTGGCGTGCTTCATAACCGGTGCAGTCTTTTTGGCCATAGGCCGTTTCCTCCCGGCAACGTCACGGATATCTTCCAGCAGTAAGCGGTTCGGCATTCCGCTCGCTGAACAGTTCGAACTCTCGTCGCGCAGCTCGCTATCTTCCTCATCGAGCCCCATCTTAGGAAGTCCAGAGGAGTCCGCGCTGTCCGCGCCGTCCCCATATCGATACTGGTGCAATCTTGGCCTTTTAGTAGCCGCATGCTCTTTGAGGATTGAGACATTCCGTCAAGTCTCTCTTAATACCGAATGCGCTCCAGCAGGATATGCTGTAAGTCCAGAGAGGGCTGTCGCGACTTTGTCACAAATGTCTAATTTCCTATCAATATGCAGTACACCGTTCCCTTCTTAATATCTTTGTACGACTACTGGCGAAATCAACGCGCACGCTCAAAAAATGAATATGTTTCGTCTCGGCCCTCCAAGAGCCGACCTATCCAAGTCGTCTATTCCACTTTCAGAGGGGGTTTCTATTACCTGACACAGAGCGCATACAGAGGAATTCTGGCTGGAGCATTCCTTTCTTTGAGTGGCTATTCCGCCGCGTCATTTTACGCCGGCGGTCAATCCACCTACGTTTGCCCTATCATTCTTCACGGCGCAGTGCGATTACGGGGCTTTAAACTTCTCAATGTTTTCTTGGACTCTCTTTTAATCATCGGGGTTGCTGAGCTATGCCAGACTAATCCCGGGTTTGAGGGTAACAGACGAAAAAGAGCCATCCTCTCCTTAGGAGCAGGCCTTGTCGTAAGTTGATGATTCCTTCAAAAGCATAGAGTTGCATAGTCTAACAGATGACCCTTAGGGCGTTTCTCTGCTTTGGACCATTATTGGATGTTTTGTTTCCAACAGCCGCCCCGAGTTTATTCTTCAGCCTTTGCTAGATCCGAGATATGCACGGAGTGCTTTGAGCCAAGCGACGCTGGTAATGCTCTTAGCTGTGTCAGCCTGGCAATTGGTAAGTGCTTGCTCTCTGTTGGTTCAAAATGCCTCGATACTAATTTACTAGTTACCCCAACTTGGAGTGTTAGGATTGACAATCCTAGGAGGCTTCGTTTTCATCTACTTCTCGGCAACTTCAATATTACTGGTGGAGCAAATGCCGCTCCCCTACATCTCGACAGCTCATACTGTATTTCCATTGATTGGGTCTTCGATCGCAGCAGTGCTATTTCTTCTCTCCCGCATCATTTCAGATGAAGAGTCCAAGGCACTATTCCGCACAAACGTTTTACTGCAGGCCTTCGTCGTTCTTCTCTGTCTTTTTGGCTTGTGTGCTGCCTCTGCCAAGCACCACTTTTCTCACACACACCCGATCGATCTTTTAATTCACGAAGCAAACATTCAGTATGAGGATTATCTATCTGGGGCCGGCGCCAGTCAGACCCTGCAAGATGCTGTCTTGGAGTATCGAAAGCGTTATCAAAGACATCCACCTCCGTGAGTATTAATCGCCTGTTTTCACGATCTGGCATTTGGAATAACGACTGACATTTGTCTAGGGGGGTTTGATAAATGGTACGAATATGCGACCAGCCGATCTTCATTAGTTATCGATGAGTTCGATCAAATTTACAGGAATCTACTTCCATTCCGTGCTCTCAGCCCGGCATCTATTCGAGAAGCGACACATAAACTAGCGACGAATCCGTTTAATGACCTTGGAGCAATCAGTATTCGAAATGGGAAGCCCGAGGTTCAAGAAGGCATCAAGCCAACCCATGCATGGATGGTCAAAGGAGCCGCAGATATGATCGAAAACTTTTCAGAGCATCTACCTGATATGGATATTGTTTTCAACTTGAATGATGAGCCACGAGTGGCGATTCCGTGGGAAAGGGCCTTGACTTTGAAGCGTGAAGCGAAATCACAAGAATTCATTCCTGCGGAGAGCCTTGTGGATACATGGTCACCAAATCGACGATCTGGCTGGGATCCAGTTGAACCAATCGATCAAACGAACGAGACGGTTTTCACGGATGGTGCATGGAATGGTATATTCGATCGTTATGTGAGCGCCGTTTGTCCGCCCTCCTCAAAGTCCCGTACCCAGCGTATCTGGAACCGACATGACATCTGCCTCGACTGTGTGTCACCCCATTCCATGGGTCAATTTCCCGTTGACTTCAATCTGGCATCAGACTTTTGCCATCAACCAGACCTAGCATACCTTCATGGGCTTTTGATATCCCCTGCTTCATTCAAGGTGTCCCAGGAATTGATTCCAGTCTTCAGCCAAAGTGCTCTTTCTGGATTCAACGATATCCTCTTCCCTAGCCCATGGAACTATATGGACAAGGTGAAATATGAGCCGTCTGAGGAGTATCCAGACCCGGAGTATGAAAGCAAGAGCAATTCTTTATACTGGGTGGGCAGCACATCTGAAGGCTACAGTCGATTTGATCAGTGGAAAGGAATTCCAAGGCAACGCTTCGCCCATCTGGTCAACAACAACACCGATAACCAAGTATCCGTTCTCCTTCCCGTCGACGGGCGGTCCTACAAATACGAAATAATGAACGGGGCAGCCCCGATTGATGACCTGCACCTCGAAACGAATGTCCACATCGCCGGCCCCATAACACGTTGCGGAGACTGCGATACTCAGCGCGACGAACTGGGAACGGCCTCCTGGGTCGATTTCCAAAACCACTGGTCTAACCGGTATCTATTCGATCTTGACGGTGCTGGATTCAGCGGCCGTTTCTTGCCTTTCTTGCAGAGTCGCAGCCTACCATTCCGCACCGGACTCTTCCGACAGTGGTTTGACTCGCGTGTGATTTCATGGCTACATTTTGTACCTATCGATATCCGTCTCCATGGTCTTTGGAGTACGCTAGCGTATTTCTCTGGTGTTCCCGGCCGACGATCGATGGACAAGATCCCAACAAGGCACCTCCGATGCGGATGGACGCCCATACAAGACAGGGCAAATGGATTGCCGACCAGGGACGTAAATGGACCGATGTCGCCTTACGCAAGGAAGATATGGAGATCTACTTCTTCAGGCTTTTACTGGAATGGGGGCGTCTCACAGATGACCAGAGGGATGTGCTGGGGTATAAGCCCCCAGCTTGAATGTGATGAATATGATTTTTTTTGAGCGCTGGGCGTCTATTTTGAAATCATGAATACTAGTACATATGTGATGATCTCAACGATCTCTCCGTCTTCTTTCAGTCACGTAGAAATCTAGGGCTACGTAGAATTTCTCCGACATGGAGACAGCCCTGAAGCCATTCAATGACATGCCTCAAACGCTCTCACTTACTGGGCCAGTCAATTGAGCATAATTGCCATGCATCGTGTAATCGATTATTGGCCCACTCATGATGTCCTAGGTCGTACGAGTAGCTATTTCTACTACTGGTGCAGATACAAGGCTGCACCACATGGCTATAGAGTCATTTCACAGTTCCCACAACACCAGCCCTGGGATTTCGATCAGCAAAATGAACTAGCCGCGAAACAAGTGCCAAATCCCAAAAGTTAAACTAGTAGTCAAATCAACGGTCATACTACGAGTAAAACCGTTAGAAACCCCTCGAAGCGGGTCCATATACTTCGGCCGTTTGGTAAATCCGTCACCGAGCCCACCGACATCCATCCACCATTCTACAAATTTATCACAAAGAATTACTATCAAATCTTAAACACGCCTCAATGGATATAAAAAGAATACAAATCCAACTCGGCCCCACACCAATAAGATTCCCCGACTGCTGTCTCGGCCTATCCAGCACCCTCATCTCAACCTTATCCGAACTCCTCCCCCAAACCCCCAAATTCACACTCTCAATCGGCAGCGGGTCGGGACTACTGGAGTCTCTTCTCACGCATAGCAATGCCAACATCACCGTGCAGGGCGTGGAAGTAGACTCGTCTGTCAATCGGTACATCGCAGAGGAAGATATGCATGTCGTTGGTGGGGGGGTGGGGTCTTTGTCCTGAAGCCGAACGGGCTGCGGCTTGGATGTTTGTGTATCCGCGAGATCCGAAATTGATCACGAAGTACTTTGATAGTCATCTTGGTTGTGGAGTTGAGATGATCTTGTGGTTGGGGCCCAGGGTCGATTGGGCGGATTATGAAGATCGGTTTCGACAATCTTCGTTTTCGGAGTTGACCTTTTTGCCAGAAGAGTGTGGATTGACTCCATATGAGACTGTTGTTGTTGCTAGAAAGTTATGACGATGTTTTAAGCCGGTGGTTTGGAGAGGTCTTCGTCTTTCTTTCGACTTATTTTTGTTCCATTTTTGGGTTTGGAGGATGGCTTTCGCCTTGTCTATTGTTGAAACTTTATACCAGAGACGCACGCTACTCAGAGTGATTTAATGTATATATGCATCGAGATGCAAATCTCAATTCAAATGATTCCAAGGTTATATAAACGAATGGTTTAGAAGGGGTATTTAAAAACAATAACATCAATCGCCCAATTCATCGTCAAAAATCGTCAAGAAAAAAATTGCAGGTCGCCCCATGCCAGTGGAAAACAAGAGACAGACCGCATATGCAGAACAAGCCAGGTTCTAGCAGAAGAAGAGAAAATGTAGTTCAAAAAATGTCCAGCAAACAAAATGAGATCTCAGATCTCGATCAAGAAGTGAAGAAAACTGTCAATGTCCAGCAAGTCCATTTTGATGTCATATCAAAAGTATTTCGTTATTCCTCCCAAATTGGGCCGCTTACTGACCGTGGCCGTGGCCATGTTTGTAGCGGTCGCGGCGGTGCTTCCGGGTCGGACGGGGCGCGGGACGAACGTTTGACGGGTCGCGACGGATATTGGGGTCAGAGACGGGCTCGTTGGCGCCTCGGCGAACGTGGGCAGCTGCGTGGTGGTGAAAGTCGCGCTGGGAGGAGCTGCTGCTGTCTTGGTAGACCTTGAGAGAGTTGATGCCCCAGTAGGTCTCGTCGAATGCGGAAGGGTTGTTTTGGACGTAAGATATGCAGGTGTCAGCCTTGGAAGCGCAGGTGCCAGAGGTCCAAGAATCGCCAGCCCAGTCACCACAGAAGGTAATGTCGAAGACCTGATAGATCTGCATTAGCAAAAGGTTATCGTAGATGAGAGGCTGAGAACATACAATCTGGAGGTTGTTGAAGTGGGAGTCGATATCACAGTTGCCAGCGAACTTGGCCGAGGGTGTACCCCAGCCAGATGGGTCAGGGCTACCGCTGGAGATATCGGAGGGAACACTCGAGTTGGGGAAGATCCAGACACTGATCGCATCGCCGGTCCACTCAGTGGCGTAAACACCGCCACCTTGGTTGTTGAATCCGTCTCCATAGTCGCTTGTGCTGGAGCTAGTGATGGCACAGCCAGCATTTTCAGACTGCTCAGTGGCCTTGACGTAGCAATCGCTGGTCTGGACGGAACCACTGAAACCGGAGTTATCGATCGAGCAGCCATCGCTGGTATGCAAAGTCATCTGGTTGACTGATTGGTCATTGACACCCTCGATGATGTCAATCTCGCCGTTGCTGGGCCAGTCGGAGCCGAGCATCCAACTTGAAGAAAAAAAAGGTTAGTCGATTGACTTGAGGTATTCGTGATATTTCTCATTGACTTACAAAGCGGGCCAGGTGCCACAAACGCTGCCGGGCATATGGTTCAGATCCAAAATCACTAGACCATGCGAATAGGTGTTGGTGCTTTCCAAACGCACACTCGATCGGCCAGGGGTGCTCGCGGTGTTGACGGTATCAACACCAACATAAACGGAATCGCCGGACTTAATGAGACCGCCACTGCTAGCAGTTGATCGGTCGACGTAGCTCACGTAGCCATTGGTTGGGTCCGAGTCCTACAAAAGGGTTCGGTCAGTATATAAATTTGAATATGAACCGTATTTAGATCCCAACTACAGCCACACATACCGTGAAGAAGTTGAACTTGTCAAAGAACGAGTCAGAGGTGCCATAGTCGTCTTTCAATGTATAGGCCGCTGCGCTGAGCTGGGCAAAAAGGCCCAGGCTCGGAACAAGGGTGACTGAGGATTTGCATGGTTCCGGGGTGATGTATGCAAAAGACAAGAGTCAAGAGAGAATGATAGGACGCAATCTATCAAAGACGCAGTCCAATATTTGTGTAAATTGTCGAGAAGACTTGAAACTACCCACGGGGTAATAGTAAAGGAAGGGTACGGAATATACAGTCCAAAGAGAATGGGAAAGTATAGACCTAAAGAAAGGAATGTAAATCAAAAAAGAAGGGACAAAAAACCCCGGAAGAACAAAGGAAGGACTAGACACCGTTAAAAATGAGAGAGGTTGAAGTCTCAAAAGAAAGGTGAGACAAACGGACTTCTTATACAGGGAGGGCTGAAAAAAAGGCCGAAAGAGAAAGAACCCACCGCGTGGCGTCCCTGGCGAGGGCCCTGACTCTGCACCCACCCGACCCGATCTTGAGACCCCAGTGGGACATGCATGACAGGGCCCATGTGAGAGATGCGAAACGCGGAGCACTCTTCCTACGGCGGCAGGAGGGTTGATCCCTGACCGAACGGCGGGTCCCGAGTCTTGAAACGCAAGGTCCTAGAGGATGAGACCTTATCCACTTCCAGCCATTGTCCCTCCATACAAGCCAAGCGGTTGACAGCCACCAGTCCATTCCAATGGAACCTTTCAGGGAGTGGAACTCGGAACCACACCGTCGATATCTGGGCCGTAAATTGGTCCAGACCGTTACCGATTTTTCGGACTGGCTGGGATGGGTTGGAGGGAAGGGAGAGCGGATCATCTGCGCGGACTAAGCGGACAACGGTGGTCGACGACGACACATACTCGTCCCGCGTTATGCATCAGATGAGGCGGAAAGTGACAAGCAATTGCTCAAAGAAGAAGGGAGGGGGGTGGAGATAGTAGCGCCCTCCCCAAGGTGATAGTATGTAATGCATCTCTTTCACAGCGCTAGTGCATCCTATTGGGTGGGGGTGATATGATCTGCCGCCTTCTTTTCCAGCGATACAGTGTAGGATCCACCCACTTTTGGAGGGGTTGGAGGGGTTGGATGGGGTGGGCATGCGGATTCATCAAGCGCCTCAAGGTTTGCACTTGTTCGGCTGGATGTTTCGGAACCAAAGGACGATCTCTGTGTCGCGGCTGATGACTCGCCCAACGCTGCAGGACGGAAAAGAAACCCCTGTTGCCGAGTCGTCTGCGCGGTGTCACTGGTTGTACTCAGTTGGAGGTGGCAAGGATGATCGACGAATAGGCATACGCCGTCGCGATATCGGGAATAAGCTTTTGATTTTTTTCTCTCATCCTTCCATTCGTCACCGGTACCAGAGAATGATGACAGACGGTATCTGTTCGGCAGATGGAGAGATCAGATAGAAGAAATGCATAAAGGGGGCAGATGCAACTGGAAGGTGGAAGTGGGAGGGTTTTTTTGGAGTGGCGAAGGGAGTACATATGCAGTTAAGGTACGGAGTACTCTGCAGTACAAGTATACTGTACACTGCTTGCCCTAGTGCAGAGAGAAAGTACATCCACGCATTTCCGCGTCAGCCCTGGTCCTCCATATGGACTCCTTCCGAAATCCCATTCCACGGTCGCAATCTCCATCCATCTGAGCACGGCATCTGTCCTCTACACGATTCTCGACATACTACGTTAGGACAATGCCACGGAAGATCGCCCTGATTTCATCAGTCTGACCCACATGGATTCGCAGATGTCACAGATAAATCATCTCGGGCTTCATTTACTCTGACAGGGCGTTCCTGGGGAAAGCCACGCCCCTGCAATCTGCAAGCCACTGGAACTATGGAACTACGGAGCATACGGAGTATAGTACGGAGTATATGGATCTGAAATGTCCGGGTACGAAGTACGAAGTACAGACCAGCGACATGGATCGCGGAGGTTACGGGTAGATCTAACTCGGAAAGTCTCTAGTATGAACTACCTCACACGGAGCAAATGCCAAATACGCTCAATGATATTGCAGGGGTGTTAAAAAAGAAAAGAAAAAAAGTGACTATATGACAGATCCCGCTCATGCTCTTCAGGGGGGGCCATCTGTAAGGTCCTCCAAGCAGAACACATAGGATGGAAAAGGTGGACAATCGTGATAAGG